AATAAAAATAATCGATTTTTAATTGACAGGCGCGATTTGGCAACCGATTTAGGTAGACAGGCATTCGAAATCAGACTTGGGGGTGTTTGTTCTATGTTCAAATAAATTTTCATGCAAAACGCGCGCGATGAGTCGGTTTTTTCAGCCATAATAAAATTCAGCCGGAAATTTTTTCATTGGCTCTTGTACTATAATTGCTTGTCTTCCAAAGTCAAATACTGATGCCTACTTTAGATATTCATAATCATAACCCATAAAAACACTTCAAGTTTCCCATCTTTTCCATGCATTTACATAGTAAACGCGCCAATAAAGGACTGAAGCTGACGTCACAGAACTGGCAGCCGATTAGAGCAATCCTGTAGAATTCACGATTGATTGTTCCAAGATATTTAAAGGTTTTAAAATTTGATTCTATTAAAGTAGTTGAAAGAAATGAAGAGTAATAATTCCCTAGTTGGTACTACAGTGATAAACCTTTACAAACAGTGGTGGCAATAGAGCCAGAGGTCCCGCCGCCATTTTGTGCCCCAATTCTTGCTAATTTTAAATATGAATATATAGGATTTAAGTGGACATCTATCATGAAAAATTGAAAACAGCGTGTTTGATTACTTTGATTTCAGGTTCATCAAATACGTTGTTTTCAATTTTTTATGATTGATGTTCACCTAAATCCTAAATATTCCTATTTAAAATTAGCAAGAGGTGAGGCGCAAAATAGCGGCATTTTCAATATGAATATATAGGATTTTGAAGAACCAATCATATATGGACCAACGAGAGTTCGACCACCACATTCGTACAGCAAAAGCTTGTGAATCATTTCATGCAAGATTCAATTGCTCATACTAGTAACATTTATTTTAATTTTTTGATAAAATAATTTTTTAAAATTAACATTGCAATAAATTTGGATTTAATTCATGTAGAAAAAGTGGGATCTTAATTTTTGTTAAATAAGCAGAGCATTGGGCTAGTACTACCAATCCGTCTCCCTACCTACCTACTGCTGGGTTTCGGCTCTTGTTTATGGACAGTAAATATTAATAAATTATTGCAAATGAGTTTCTTATATGTCTGAATGAAGATTACCTACAATATCGACCGCATGAGGTTGTTCTATTGTTGACCGTTGCCAATTGACATTTTTGCAGTTGTTCTATTTCAGTAATTTTTTTTATTGGGATAACGAATCCATGAGAGTCGAATCCATTACACAAATGAAAATAAAGATCATTTTGCTGTTGGTTTGCAAAATCTTGTCAAGCATTATGGATTTTGAGGTTTCTTAAATGATTTCTCGAGGAACAGAGCTGTGGGCTTACGTTAGATAGTACTCTTAAACGTAGACTTCTCACTGAAGATGGGTTGACTTTCGAACAAGCAAATTGTAACGAAATGTGGCGCATCCGCCAGGGCGCATAAAATCTAATCACTGAATTCCAGAGAATACTGCCTTATTCAAAAAAACACGCTATTGCTTTCTTCTGGATTTTACAAAATGGATTATGCGGGTATATAAAGGCCGGTTTACCCACGTAGCAATTGTACATGCTTAGCAAATGTACAGAATATTCCAGAGAATGAAAAGGATATGCTAGATATGTTCCAAAAAAGTATTGCGCACATCCACAGTATACATCCTAAGTATATGTTACAGACTCACCATAGATGTTAGGTATGTGCTTATAATATCCTCAAGTATGACCTATAGTCACAAGCTCAGCATGTACTGAAGACATATCCACGGAATATGCTCCAAATGTACCTACTTTATTTTTCTAGGAATGTACATATCATATGATATGCATATACATATCAGGTCATATGTATATTCATGACATATGCCTTGGCACATCTAGTGTATAGATAGTACCTCAACAAACACAACTTATCGGCGTTGTAATGTTGCTGTATCACGAACACCGTCCAAATACAGCACAAGAAGAGTTTTATTAATGCTGCACAGCACTTGTAATGGGAATACTGTGGTTAAGAAGAAGTGCAGTATTTCGTATGCCGCTGCTTTGCAGATTTTGTATGGGAAAAGCGATAGATTATTTCGATCTCCCATGCGCATATTGATGCAACAACTGTTGTAAAATGTTACTGCAGTTACTGTGAAGGAATGCGCCTACTTGCGCAAACGGAGTATTTTTTGCCGTAGAGTTGTGAGCGTAGCCATTTTGTTTTATTTTATTGTATTGTATTGTTTCACTGGGGCAGGACAGCGTTTCTGATTTTTGATTTTCGTGGTGTTTTTCACGTGTCCTTTACTTGTGATTTGTATTACTACGTATACAGGATGCATTATTCTCAACAAGAGGAAACAAGGTAGGTGAAAAATTAATATAGGTACAAATAACCAAAAACAAAGGCCCGCATGTTATCATAACCTTCATCCATAGCCTAAGTTTTCTATCGTTTTTTTATCTGCCTCCATTTTCTGTTTTCTATTTTTGTGATTTTAAAAATGGATTTACAAAATATAAATATTCTTTAAGGTAAATAGTCTTGGAATACTGGGGGCCAAAAACACTGAAGAAGTAGGTATGTAGGAACTAACATATCGTCGCTGTCATTACGAAGTGGCCAATATCCGATTTAACAACTTTTCAGGAGAGCGTTTTGTGTTCAAATATGACGGGAGTTAGTCTGAAAAGTGTATATAGTCCGTGAATCAAAAAATGGAAATTTCACTTCTCCAAAAACATCAACGGGAAGAAGCAAAATTGTAATTGAAGAACAGGATAAACATGCAATCAGAAGAATAGTTCATTAGTTTTATTTCAAAAAAGAGATCCCTACATTAGACAAAATTCGTGCAGTGGTTAAGAACGATAAAGATTTACCAGGAATAAGTAGAGACAAGCTTTGGAAAATATTGAAAGAATTTAATTTTGTATGGGCTAAGGATATCCGAAAGTCACTTTTAATAGAAAAAGAAGAAATAATTTGCTGGAGGAGGAAATATTTAAGGAAGATTAACAATTTCGAAATGAAAAAAGAAATATCTATTATTTAGATGAAACCTGGATAAACGCTGGACATACAGTAAAAATGTGGCAGGATAAGAACATCACAAGTTCTCGGCAAGCTTTTTTAGTAGGTTTATCTACAGGAATAGAACCTCCATCTGGAAAAGGAAGTAGATTAATTATCGCCCATATTGGCAATGAACAAGGATTTGTCGAAGGCGAAGATGTTTCAATCTAAGGACACTGGACACCACGAAGACATGAACGCCGATATGTTTGAGGAATATTTCAAGCAGATGTTAGATTTGATTCCTTCAGGATCCGTTGTAGTGCTTGATAATGTTCCTTATCATTCACGAAAAGCTGCTCAAGTACCAACGACTGCATGGCGAAAAGAAGACATTAAAAAGTGGCTTTCTGAAAGAGGAATATCACCTATAGATGATATGGTAAAGAAAGAACTCTTGGCCCTTGTGAACACGAAAAAACAGGAATATAGTAAATGTAAGATTGATGATATGGCGGAAAAGCGACAAATTATTGTACTTCGGACTCCTCCATATCACTGCGAATTGAATCCGATTGAGTTAGTGTGAGCTCAGATTAAATATTTAGTAGCCACTCAAAATACCACATATAAAATAAATGATGTTCAGAAGATTTTTCAAAAAGCATTGAACATGTAGATACCGAAAAATGGAATAAATGTGTAGAGCACGTGAAAAAAGAAGAAAAAAAGATGTGGCAGCTAGACCACATGTTGGAAGAAGAAATACAGTCCATTAGATATTATACCAGTTGGGGTAGAAGATAGTTCTACTGGTTATTCAAATGACGAAAGTTGATTAACCACTGGTAGGTATTATTTTTATTGTCAATTTTACCTTTTTACATAAAAATAAAAATATAATACAAAAATGTTGATTTTGTTTATTAATATCTCGATCAATCTATCAAAATAAATGTTTGAAAAGTCTGTACATCTTTTTTTTTTTAAATGAAACACCCTCTAGTCCTCTGCTATACGACACCAATGGTGGTATCTAGTACCTATCTTATATACCGAGATCCATTCATCTTGAATAGAATCACAAATGAGCCTTAGACCCTTTTTGTACATTAACACGGGTGGGCAAGTTTAATCTTAGTGATTTGCTAATACCTTATATATTCTTATGAGAAATGAAAAATTTAGCTCGTCCCCAGCTAAACACTTGGTCCCAGTTTTGCATAAATTTACATAGGTATACTTAATGGTCTTGGTCAAACAAATAGACTATAAGCAATAATAAAATTGGTTTGGGAATGTTCAAAAAATCTTTTATTAAATTTAGGTATTCGAAAAGATCATCATTTTTACAATCATGTCCAAAAATATGTATTTTTAAAATTACACTTCGAAGTAAAAACATAATCAATGAATTTTTTTTTTCGACATTTGACTACGTTTATTTCACGCGCTGTATCCGGATACTAAGTGGATTGGATTATTAATTCATATTAGTTCATTTCACAACTACTAAATGGATTAAGATAAGTGCTAATTCTTTAGGCCTTGTTTTTAACAAGCCCAAATTGCTTTGTCTAACTTCATTAAAGGTAATCATCCGATACACTTTAAAAGTACAATCCCACAAATTTGGAGGATTAGATTAAGTACTCCGATCCGGATAAACTTTCTAATCCTGGGTGTTTATTTCAGGATTATTAATAGCCATTATTAATCCAATCCATTTAGTATCCGGATACAACGCGTGAAATAAACGTAGTGATTTTCTTAACATTTTTAAAATATTTAGGCTGGATTCTGGCTGCAGCACGCGGCGACTTGTTCAAGGCTGAAACAGCGTCTCTTTGCTCCTTCTGCCAGCTGAGTGAACCATATTCTGCAGCGTTTTCAGTTAGTAGCAAATTTGTACCCCTCTTTAAAAAATATGTGACTAACTACATATACAAACTCTATTTGTTTTTCATCACTAATTTAAGTTCAATAATCTAACTATGGAACGATGCACATTATTAATTGTCCGTCAGCCGATGCAATGCTACCATTAGGGTTCTCCGCAATCCGGCAACGACTGGTATACTTTTGATGCATTTCTTCGAAAGACGATCTAGAACTAAAGAACAAACAATTGGAGGAAGTTACATAATCTATATTTTTTTGATGCAAAACTTCAAATTTTTGAGGCTATTGAAGATAGGTTTGAGGAAGGAACAATAATTACGGTGAAGAGTTTTTATGGTTTAATAAATTAGTTTGACAGCTAAAAATAATAAAATCATGAAGTGCCCCTTAAACTAAAAAAATTAATAAAGAACGGCCGATAATTAAAGTTATTTAATTAATAGCTAGTAAGCCCTCCCCTCACATTCACAACCTCTTGGCATCGCCGTAGCATGTTGTCAACCACGAGATTAATGAATGCCTGAGGGATATTTTGCCACTCTTCTTCTATGGCAAGGGCGAACTCATCCAGCGTTTGGGAGCATTTTTGCGCGATCGTACCAGTAACTTGAGCTGAGACCACACAAGATCAGGAGATTTTGGAGGCAGGTGTAACTGTTGCATGTTATGCTCCCCCATGATCATCCCCAATATTTTCTGCATATGGAATAACGTCATTTATTATGTGATTTCGATAAATTACGGCGTTAACAGTACCCCGTGAAATGTATAAGTCGGATCTATCGTTGTACATCACTCCGGCTCAAACATTAAACCCTCCTCCTCCAAAGGTTTCCTGAGAAGCCATGTTGTCTTCTTCAAATTGCTCCCCAGGTTGCCTCCACACTAACACCCTACCATCGGAGTGTATTAGGTTGAACCGCGGTAATTTATTATTACATTCTGGTAAATTATAAGGAAAAAAATAGGCATTGACAACATTGTCAGTTCTTGTTCTACGACATCATCCTAAATATAACGTGAAAAACCTATAGGAACACTTATTGTGTTTTGTTTCAAATCAACTTAAAGAAGCATTAACGTTGTTCATATAATTTTTTGTTTGGCAGATAATGTACTTTACCATCCTTAACTTTATTTATTGATACTGCTACCATAAGGGGAAGAATTTTTAATTGAAATACCTTTAACATGAAGCTACAAAGAAAATTAGCAGGTAATATAAATTTGGGTTTCCTCTCACCACAACGAAATCGGTTCCGAATATTAAAATTTTATCAGTGGTATTAATAATTATTAGCACGCCACTGTATAGCTTATCTTTGAGGTATTCGAAATTTTTAATCATAAAAATACGCTAATCGAAAGATATAACAATTGCTAATAAAATTGATTTAATGAAAAATAATAATTTCTGTTTGCACGCCACTGTATAGCATATCATTGAGGTATTCGATATTTTCAATCATAGTAAATACGCTGGCTGCAAGGTATGACAATTGCTAAAAAAATAATAATGTTAAATAAACGATATTTTAAAAACTAAGGCAAATATCAAAATTTTGAGAAACTGGTTTCTCAATAACATGTCAATGATTAAAGTGAACTAAACAAATGAAACTTCAAATGATTATTTTTAAAATTATGCACCTTTGAATGTAAAAATCGGTGAGCCATTAATAAGTTATTCCGAAAATGGGCGATTATTAGTACGCTACTGGACACCACATTATTTTAGTATCATTTTTTTTTCATTGAAAATAAACCAGGATATCGTGGGGCATATCAAACAGCAGCATAAGATGCCAGATTTATTGTACAGGATGGTTTAGGTGCTTAAAAGTTGAAAAAAGTGGAGGTTATGAAAAAAAGTCGATATTTTTAAAACTAAGGCAGGTATAAAAAATTTGAGAAATTACTTTTTTTGCAGAAGATCATTGATTAAAACGCCGCATAGAAATAAAATTTAAAAAATTATCTGAGAAAGTTACACACATTCAAAATTGGGATGAAAATCATGGACTCTTTTAACACCCTGTATAAAAAAAAGTAGACATTTAAAAAAATTTCAAAATAGCAATTTTTTTCACAAAAAGTCAATCTGTTAGCCCGTGAAAACCGAAGGTCGATATCTAGTCTGGTTCCAAAAATATCGATCTTGAAAGTTAGGCGATATTTCCCTTGTTCGAAAGCAATTGTCCAGCAGTTTAGATTTAAAGTAGGTATACGAATAAAAACGTCTAACCGTGGTCGATATTGGATGGATACATTGCTAACAGAACGCCAGTCAAAAGTTAACGTTCGCTCAACGTCGCCATATTTACCATAAAAAACTATACATTCGACAACGTCTGATTTACGTTGACTACAGCTACCATAAATGTCTGACGTTAACTCAGCGTCGGCTATGGTCGGGTATTAACTTTGACTGAAAAGTTAATGAGTAACCTAAATTTCTACCAATTACAACGTCGGAACTTTTGAAAATCTAGTCGAAAAAAATGCTTTGTTGTGATCCTTCAGTGTTTTGCCTTGGTTAAAACTACTTTTGTTTTTGGTTTGAAACTTGTAGCTTTATTAGGTAATGGAATATAGAATGAAATTGAACTACAGCAAAAGTAAGACTTATTTTAGAGAGAGTTTTAACAAAATGTGTTACTACGACTGAAGCTGTCTTAAGACTGACTTCTTGCTTCACTAGATCTCTTACAAATCGACCTTTACATCCCTTCTAAAACGTTTCTAAAACCTACATAATTACAACTGGAAAACCCTAAATAAATATTGGCAATAAATGACAGTCTGTTCGCCAAAAGAATGACCATTAAGAATATTTGGGAATTTTGGGGTTTATGGTGGACAAATGTTTAATTTATTTACATACAGTATCTTTGGGTTCTTTAACAGAAAGTCTGGGTCATATAATAGTATTGCTTTCGGCGACGGCGAGGCATTATTTGGGAAAGTATTCGAGGGTCGTAAAAGGTACAATGTCATGATATTATGGAGGAATATGACACTTCCCCCCTTGAAAAAAAAAAGAAATTTTCATAAAGAAATTTCTTCAAAACAAATCCTTTAAGAAATACAATTATAAAAAACTAACGTAAAATAATATGAAGCTTAACTTAATATAAAGGTAGGAATAAAAAGGAAAGAGAAAAAAAAAAAAAAATGTAAACTAACTTATACCTAAGAATATACAAACATATCTTTTACTAAGACATTTTTATGGACGGTCTTGGGGTGACTGATCTTCGCATGGACATGGAATTCGTAGTGGATGTGGTTGCTTCATTGGAACTTAGAAGGTTATTTAGTTCAATCCCTTCGCCCATTTTTGTTCTGGCTTCTTCTTCTAGAATTCTTGATAGGTTTTGACTTGTCCCTGGAGTGGTATTTATATTTGTATTGAAAACCTTAATACAGCAGGAATCCGAAATGTGCTTTGGGCTTTTAGTACAACAAAACATACTTTTAATGCATGATATTAATCCGCACCACTTAAGAAAATTGTACACCATTACCAAAAGAACAACTGACGCGATAAAAGAAATAATGATAATGAACCAATGAGAGTGTTGAATAATAAATGGCTTCTTCAATTCTTCATCCAGCTATTGGTCCAGTTGTCCAAGTTTGTGATTCGCAAACTGTAAATCGTCCAATTTGATATTGGAAAGTCTTATTGGTTGTAGTGTGATTGGTGTGTTGTTGAATCTGGCTTCTTTGACATAGCAGCAATCGTCAAGTGCAATATTGATATCTGAAATTTGTTTTGAAATATTCCGTGTAATGATTCCTGAGCTTTCCAAGATAATATTTTGAGTATAGCCTCTGCATTTGGGTTCCAAACTTAACAGCCCTGTTGATGCAATTTTTATATCTTCGATTGGAAAATTATCACAAGCCAGAGGAAGCTGTAAGGGCGTCGATAGTACGAAAAGCCAAGAGTTGTCGCTCAGTGGATGCCATATCTCGAAGTCTGCTTTGGAAGTAACGGTATGACAGTCAGCCGGGATTTTGGTAGAAAATGATGTAAACAATGCGACTTCGCACTTAGGAGGTTCTTGAATCCTTGTAGCTTGAGTGTTTTGGCAGATGAATTCCTCTTCTGTGATCCTTGTACACTTGGTAAGGTCTTTCATTTGCACATAACTAACCTTACTAATACTTATCAGCAGGTAAGGAAAATCAGGTAGGATATAGGAATGAATATCAGAAAAATTATGAGGTGTTGGAAGTGGCAATAATTTGAACAGATTGTAGGTCATTTCGTCAGTCAATGGAATTTCAATTGCAAAAATAATTATGTTATCAGAATGAAAAACTTTTAGTTTACTGATCTCAAAATATTTGTAAATAGTTGAATAAGATATTGGGAACGGTAATTGAGTCCGTTGTTCAATTTGAGTTCCGAAAGTACATTTAATAATTGTTTTGGTGTTATAACTTTCGGATGTAGGATATTATGTCTGGCCATTGTTATAGCTGAGATTAATAAATCATATTCTTCGTTCAGATCTTCTAATATTTGTGTGAGTAAGGCAATATGTGAACTGATGATAAGTTTCAGTTTGTTTACGTGAATACGTTTATTGGTATCTGCTGAGAAGGAGTTGAAAATTTTAATATTAGAGTTTAGAGTTTCTTGATTAGATTTAAAATTTCGTATACTAGAATTAAAATTAGATATCGTACTAGAAATTATGCCAATTTGTTGTTTCATCAAAAGTTGTGTATTTCTATTACTTTGAATTAGAGTTTTTATCGATTTGTCATAAAATTTAGTATCATCGGCATCAGGCATGCCAAATAGCCAATTGAATGCGTAAGAAGCACCATCAAAAATTCCTCTTTTAGTCTTTTTCGTATTAGTACCGATTATTTCGCTGACAACTTCAGATTTTCCGAGCAATTTATTAAACCGAGATTGGACGACTTTTATAGTATCTTTGCATAGAAAATTTTCAGATTCAACAATTTCATTACTATAACATAAATCGAATGACTTTTTCAATATTCCAGAAATAAATTTTATTTTCTTTTCATATCCAGTTACATTAAGATGAGTAAATAGGACAAATTTAGAATTTGAAAGTTTAACTTGGCCAAGATTATTATAATAAAGACCGGCATGATCGTGGAGATTAGTAATGTGATAATTATCGCCTCTAACACAAACGGAAATGGAAGTTAGTACAAGTAGGA